GAGGAAAGAGAGGCTGGGCGTGGTGGCTCACATCTGTAATCCCAGCACTTTGGGAGACTGAGGTGGGCAGACTGCCTGAGTTCAGGAGTTTGAGACCAGCCTGGCCAACATGATGAAACCCATCTCTACTAAAAATACCAAAAAAAACAAAAAACAAACAAAAAAAAAAACGCCAGGCATGGTGACAAGTGCCTGTAATCCCAGCTACTCGGGAGACTGAGGCACTAGAATCACTTGAGCCTGGGAGGCAGAGCTTGCAGCAGTGACAACAGAGCAAGACCCTGTCTCAAAAAACAAAACAAAAACCCAGGTGGAACTCCTCAGGAAGTATTTAGTGTGCTGTTACCAGACAGTTGGCAGAGAGAAGAAAGAAAGACCCCTGTCCACCAGAAAGTTGGAGTTAGAGGCCAGAGAGGGGGTGACCAATGAGAGCAGTCACAGAGGGGATGACAGGAGACGGGCCCTGTGCCTTGCCTTTGCCTGTGCTGTTCCTTCTTCCAGGAGGGCCATATGGAGTAATTCACAGAACTTCCCCTCCCCCGTAAGTAATGGTCTAGATGTTGACATCCTGCCTTTCTTCTCTAGGGCCCAGGAAATGCCTGTTGAAATAAATTGCATTTGCTGGAAAGCCACCACGAACCATGCAAATTGTCAGACTGTTCTTTCCCATGTGGGTATGAAATCTGCTTTGGAGCATGGGCCCAGTGGGGCTGCAGCGAGCGCACCACCTTCCAGGACCACTCTCCAGATGACTAAGAGCTGTGGACTGAGACTTAGTCACTGAGGGCCCTGAGGCAAACCTGTGCCTGGCTCCCTAAGCCCCAGGTCCTCCTGGGTAAGGGGTGCCCCTGGAAAGCAAGTAGTGGGAGTTCACCCCACCAGTAACTATGCCAGTGCTTTATCTGTCCTTTATTGCAGGTAGACCAAAGTGGCCACAGGCTTTCTACTCAAGGTTCACAACCAGATGACCAGCTCCAGTTTACTGATGGGAGAGAAACCCACTGGTTTAGAGAGTTTAAGAATTTCAGCCTAGAAGCTGGGCAACGTGGCTCACACCTGTAATCCCAGCACTTTGGGAGGTCAAAGCGGGAGGATCATT